TTTATCAGATTTTTCTTTCTTTTTTTTTTTTTTTCTGTGTGTGTTTATTCAGTTACATACCCATCACATATTTTTATATATTTTTCACATTTGGAAAGAAAGAGCTTTGCAAAAAGGTATTTTTTGTAACTGTTGGTGAGCATACATGTCTACCATTTTTACCTGAATGCTCAAAGTAATACCTTGTTTTTTTATTTAATTATATATTCCTTTAGCTAAATGTGAAGTGTATTATATGTGGAAGTGGATTGGGGAAGTGTTTTCATCTTTTAATTGTTTTCTGTCCTAGAAATTGTCAGCACTTTCTCTCCGTATCCAACAAATTGAAACAACACTCAACATTTTGGATGCAAAGGTTTGTAATGTATGGACTTGTTTTAACAGTAATAGCTTTCCAATTTTCAATAATCTGAACTGAGGAAATAAGTTTTCATAAAGATGAGAAGAAGCTAATACAAAAGGTTATGATGGCAAACATTCACTTTGCATGTCTCACTGCTTACATTTTATGATATTTGAACATGTAATTTATGTGAAAGAAAGAAACAGAAAACATGTAGTACAAAAGTTTTTTTTTCTCTGCTAGGCATGTAGAGCTGGAAAGGAACATTTGGATCATGAAAGGGCAACTGGAATACATGGCAGCTTATTTATGTTCAGTTTATTGATTTTTTTTAGAAGAAAAGGGAAGAAACTTTTGTGATACTGAAATATGCAACTTACATTACGAAGTTGCAGTATGAAGTGGCACTTGCCATGCAAGCTCTGACAAGAAGTTCTTGTCCCCTGGGTAAAACAAAAATATCTTTGTAAGTATTATTGCACTTTTCAAATAGCTCCTTCCAGAATTRTTAGCTAGATTGATCCCTTTTAAAAAGCTTTTGATTTTGAAATGTGACCTAAATTACATCTAAGTTAATGCAAATGTTTCTAAAGAATGTGTGTTCTTTAGCTAAAAGGATGAAAGGATATATTTATAGTCATCTTTTATCATTTAAGTAGGTAAAAGAAAAAAACAGATTGTAAAATACTTCTTTCGTTAAAGTTGGAAGCAATATTTGTTGGTTTCTCTGGGAGCAGCAGTGTAAGGAATTTTTGAAACTGCTCATTAAAATCTTGTGGGAAAAGTACTGTAGTAATGCAAACAGTTACTAACATCATTTATTTCAAAATCATTAGGAATGGTCAGTAGTGATTTCTTTCTTTCAGCATTCTTTAAAAATACGATAAATAGAATTGCACTTGGATAAATAACCATTGCACTTAATACCTGCAGTCTCAGCATTTTCCTGAAGGGGGGAAAGAAAAAAAAAAAAGAGAAATGCAAGCTCTTTAACTGGTCATCTGTCTGCTTGCTAATAGAGCTCTTCTTGCTATGGTTTCTTTCACCGTAGAAGTAGTAACATGAAAAGGTGGCATGGCTCTTGCATGGTCTACCTGTGCCACAGTAAAATGCTAAGAAGCTGTTACAGCCTTTCCTGCACTGCAGCTTTGTCAGCAGTGAACGCTGCAGTGGAGAAATCAGCACAAGGAGAAGGTTCATTAATCAAAATACCTAAACTAGTGATACATTTACCAAGTAATATAATATTACCAGTGTGAAACTTACCTGTAGAATATATGGTAAGCAGCAGACAGCTGACTTTCTTGTGCACCTTTCCTTACAATATACTCATTGTTTATTTAATGATGTCTTATGCATTCAGTTGTCTTCTATTCCTGGCCTAGAAGATGTCAAATTTGAAGKGTCCAGTGTCAGTATGAATAGTGTTACAAATGGTCCTGTTGCACAAGCTACTACAGATCAACAGACAGCTGTATCGCCTCAATCTGGAGTAAGTAGTGAAACATAAATAATACACTGAAGAGTATGTTGAACATATATTCTCTCTGTCAAGTTTCTAATCTGATTTAAAATGGATAAAGTGAATCTAGTAAGAGAGGGTGATCAAGCCAACTGTGAAGCTCTAAAACTAAATTTTTCATTAATGAAATKATTTTAATAGGTAGTTTACTTTTAAGGCAAAGAAGGGCAAACACTCTTTGTGCTTTTGTGGAGCTTAAATAGTGAGAACTAATTCAATTCTTACAGTAAACAATTCCTTCTTTTAAAATCCAAGTAAAATATGATCATGAGTTACACGGAGAAACTGGGAAGATCATAAATGAAAATAGTATTTCACATCCCTTAACTGCAGTTCTTTTATTATTCTTTTAGAATGTTGCCTTTTAGCACAAACAGAAGTTTCCAGCATAGTTACAATGAATGTTTTCGGTTTGTTGTATCCTTGTTCACAAAATGCCATATTTTTTTGTAAGTGATCAAAGTTAAGGTCCTATCCCTTTGATGACTGGCTGTATATGTAGAACATAAAAAATATATAGAAAATCATACTCGTAGCCATTCAGTAATGAAAGACCTGTTTTYAGTATACTCATGCATGCTGGAATTCTATAATATTACCAATATAGATTAGAATATTGTGGTCTAGGACAAGCTGTCCTTTAAGTTATGTTTTGAATGGATTGAAGCTGCTCTGCTTCTGATCTACAARCGTATCTATTAATATATTCTCTTATTTGTAACAACAGAGCAGTGTACCTGAAGAAGGGTTGCAGAAAACAGAAGTAGTAACAGAAAATACCAGATCAGTTGCCAAGGATCCAAGATACGCCAGATACCTTAAAATGGTACAAGTGGTAAGTCGCTTCTCTGACACTAAATATCAGAAGACAAATACATTGCATCTGTAATCCTTAAGTTAGAATAATATCAAAGCATTCCTGGGATATTTAATAAATGATTTGAYACGGTATGTTTCTTTGATTTGACTCTAATCCGATATACCTGCTCATGAAGAAGTCAGGACAACCTCAAGCAAGATCTTCTCTACAACTCGCTGTCAATGTGCAAGTGGACTCAGGATCTGGAGATGCATAAATGCAGCCTGATACAAGCGGGAGTCATAGAAGATGCTCTTAAAAGTGTATTCTGGCAAAATGATTATCCACTCCACATAGATATAGTTTTTTTTTTACTGCAGGACACGGAATGAAACTTTACTAGTGTAGCACAGAGCAAATTCCACATCACTATTACTGCAGATTTCCTAACACCCATAAAAGATTTTGCTTCTCTACTTAGTTCCACATTAGTTCCTTGTTATTCATGACACAGCTTTTGTGTTTTCCTCTTTGTGGGCTTTCCTACAGATAAGTAGGAAATAAATTAATATAATTGTAGTATTCAAGCGTATGAAAACAAGAGAAAGGATTAGAAGATTAATTGGAGTTTCTTGGGGACATCTTTCAAAAGCTCTTTTTTCACCTGTACAAAATTAAAAGTGAGGTTAAAACAGAGGATTTCTTTTTAAATCTTTATTTTCACTTAATCACTAGAGATTTTTCTCTGAAGTATGTATTAAAATTCTGAAAAATACAAATAATGCATAGATTTGGGTAAAATGTTACTTATATTAAAACTAACTGCTTGGTTTCATTCCCTCTTCAGAAAAACTGTTAACATTGATGTGTCTGGTAATTGGGATGATATTCCAGAATTGTGGAATATCCTTGTGTTTAATTACAAATGGGCACTTCATGGATAACTCATTGCAAACTATTTGAAGAACTCAGTAACAGTGAAATGGCAGGGAGCAGAACGCCATGTTAGCTTTTTGATGTAAGGCCAGTCTTAAAACTGGATGTGAAAGAACTGGATAGTCTAATTACTTGGACTTTTTTTTTTTTGGTGACTGCTAAGGGAGTGAGATCTCACTTTCCACATTTATCCTTTCTACTGGCAGTTTCTAGTGACTCCTCTGCCAGTTGTAAACAGTGTGGTAGGAAAGTCAAGCCAACGTACTACAAGTTAATGTGCTTTAATGGTATTTGCCAAAGTGATCTTCTCAGACAATCAAGTATTTGAGTTAGCGTAATTTCTTTGCCTGAATTAAGCCTCTAGCTGAAGATTTGTTGGAATTACTTATTTATTGCCCACAATATTTGTATTGTTTAAGAGTCAGGAGTCCGCAGAGATACTTTGTGTACACTGAGTTCTGTTCTGTGAAATAATAACAAACTCATTTTAATGAAGTACGTTAAATTCATATTTTTTTTAGATGTACAGCAACAATATTCAAGCAAACCGTAAAAAGCAATATAGATTTGCTGTAGTGAATGTACAGAGCATTTATTCTGAAGAATAGAAAGGAAGAGTTTAGGTTGTCAGATAAAATTCACATTTAAAGTGCAAATACTCCCTCTGGATTCTAACCATAGAACGTGACCACRTGTAGTCCAAAATACTGACAGTACTGACAAAGTGCTGGATGTACTGTGGGTATTTATGTACCATGAGTATAAATTGATCCGTGCTTTGCATGGAATGAAGTAAAAAAATCATGTGGCCTCCTTTCAGCACCACAAAGTGCTGAAACTGCTTTTCCAGCAGGATTGCTCCTTGCTCTGTGGCTTCTCCAGGACCTGCACCCTGCTGAGCAAGTGGGACCCGGCTGGGAGCAGGGCTGTGGTGCAGGAACTTGGTTTATTTTAAACTTTTACCTTGGCAGAGACAAATTTGATGTATCTTCAGTAGCTGTAAAATGCACTTGATTATTGTTCAATTTATAAATGTAATGTTTTGCATACTGACATATTGATTAATTATGTATATTTTTAACCTATCTGAGAGAATATATATTTTCACCTCAGCTACATCTGGTTTCCCAGAACAGCTTCTTCTGACAGGCCAAGAGAAAGTATTGTCCACGGTCTTTACTTTTAGAGATGTATCTTTTTATGCATCATTTTGATGCATACAATTTTGGAATAAAGCACTTCTCCAAATGAGAGCTTAGAAACGTCGCAGTTCCAGTCCCCTCATGTGCTGACATCCTTTTCACTGAGAGCAAAGCCTGAGTCCTGCTCTACCTGATCAGTTGCCTCAGTCCTGTTTTCACTTGGTATGAACTGATGCCTGAACACTTCATCAGGGACTCCCTAGCTCAGCTTGCTTTAAGTGTTGAGTTGGGGAGAGGAACCCTAAAAGCTGCCAGGCATAGAAACAGAATCAGATAGTAAAAAGTGGTTCATAGAGACTCACCATCCCTGGTGTTACTCCAAATCTATCCTAGGAGAAGTKAATATTTTAAATGCAGTCATGAAATACAGAAATGTTTTTTATTTCGTAATATACATTACGTGTGATGTATTGAGAAATTCTTTAATGTAAATTAATGCCTCATAACTGTTTCGGGGGAAGATTTTTGCTTCTGTTCCTGTTACTGTGTTACTTGATAAAAATACGTCTTTTTTTTTTTTTTTTTTTCTGAAGTCTTAATGCAGAAGCCTTAGTTGAGATTCTTACTGCAGATATCCACAGGAAAAAACAGTAAAAGATCTAGATTAGCTCTCACTTCATCAGTTGCCCACTGCAACTGTCACTAGTATCACATGCCTCTGGAACATTAATCATGGCTGCCTTTTTGTACCACTGTTTTACTGACTTCAAGCGAATATGTTTGTTCTTTGCCAAAAGTCCCACATTACTGTTTATTTTGAAGCATCTCCTGGTCTTTCCTAGACCACCACTAGCTCTGTCCTTTGGAGATTAGGAATTGGATCTTTTTTTTTTTCCGTCCCTCTCAGCATGCAGTGGTCCAGGTGGTGTTTCTGATCCTCTGCAAAGGAAGATGGCAAAGCAACAAGTTGTCTTTGAGCAACTCGAGTGGAAATATAGAAGTAGTTTGTTGGAATGGATCTTGTAAGACGACGTAGGTCAGGCTGTTCTTGGGTATCCGGTCCAGGGTGAGGATGTTTAGGTGTTGCTGAATAAAATAAAGTGCAGAAGTTGTGGAAGGATTTGCAGCGAGAGGAAGGAATTTTTCTTAACACGTACATGCTTGCATGCTTGGCTAAAATCCCTCCACAAGTCAGAAGRTTCAAGACTGACTGTACAAACACTTCTGTTCAGAGTAATCACTTAAATTGTGCTTCTGTTCTCATGTCCTGTTTGCCTTTTTAAAAAAGATTACAATTTTTAGCACTGACTTAAAGTATCCTCCCTGAGCCATAACTGATGTCCTCTCCTTTTCTTCTGCCTCTCTATCTGTATCTTCAGTGTGTCCGAGTCCTTGTCTTTCCAGCACTACAGTTCTCTGCTTTCTTTCTCATCCATTCGTATAGCTTCAGCTTACTCTGTTCATGCATGGGAGCTGCGGGTATCTAGCTACTCCTGATTGCCTTCCCTCAGCTTTCTCTGGATGTGTAGCCATAAATATCACCTGGACAAAAGGGGCTTTTGACATTTCCTAAGAGGTCTCCCATTTTTCCTTCTCCTGCCACTTGAAACTTGTAGTCAGCAGTAGCAGAAGGAGAATCGTTCCTACAGTCTGTGTCTTGCTATAAGCTTGTTTAAACTCGATCATTTACTGCTTCTAGGTTTATAGAGAGGGCCACTGAAATTATTATCCCTTCTTGTTCCACAAGAATCACTTGTCTAATTGTTTATGAAGGTCTAAAGGAACATGTGGAATTTATTTAGTTCATCAGTTCATGTACAGTAGACTTACATTACTCTTCCTCCTCGTACCCAGGGTGTTCCAGTAATGGCAATAAGAAACAAAATGATTTCTGAGGGGCTAAATCCAGATCTTCTTGAGTAAGTAATATTTTCAACTTGTAACTTGCAGAAGAGAGAGAGTGCGAGCACTTGTTTTAGAACTTTGAAAGAAAAAGAAAGAACTCATCAGATAGACTTGTTTATAGTGTTGTGATTCCAAATTAGAAGCATTAAAACAAGTTTTGAATTCTTCTATAAATGCTGCTTTAGCATTTTATAGATATAGACTCATAGAGAGAGTCATGACTACCTAAGGAACAGTGAAGCAGTCTCAAAAACGAGCTGTCTTTTCAATATTTTCTAGCCTGGGGCAAGACTGTGTAGATAYAAGAGAGAATTTCACTAGCTGTCATTATTAAATACCACTAAAAGCAACATGTCCCTTACATGTGAGGCAGCCAACTTTTTTCTAGAATCCCTTAGCAGCTTGTGTGTACCAGCCTGACAACTCTGATGCAGAAAATTAAAGCCAACAGCTCAAAACTTTGGCTCTTGATTGAGGTAACTCCATGTGAAGAATACCAGTGGAGAATAGGTAACTCATTTTCAAAGCAACCTGTGTGGCCATAAGCGTTTTCTTACACACTTGAGTTTCTTTTTAATTGTGCTCCTGCACTGTTTTGTAGAAATTCTATTKAACTGATCACAATAAAATATTAAACTTTACTCATACAGAATAGCTGCTATACTGCTCAAAACACTTGCGGCCTCTGCAGAAACTGTAAATATATAAGAAAGTCTGTTAATGTATTAGAAAGCCTATTTCTMCTTTTTCCAGTGAAACTTTTTCACATTTTAGAAAAGCTTATTCTGAAACTAACTCCTTCAAAAAAATAAGCAAAAATATCAGAAAACTGAAGTATAGTCATACACTGAATCACTCTGTCTCTTGGGTATTTCTTGGTGCCCAAATATACCTAAATTAGTTATTCCTTGTTTGATATTTTTACTAATCAAGTGAAATATAAGAAACAGAATGGAACTGTCTGAGGCAGGACTATCAAAGATGGTTTTACTGTGTTTGTGATATAATTGTATTTCTAACTCTGTCTTTCTGGCCCAGAATTTTGTGTACATGCTGCTACTTCTTCATGTCCGGATGGATTTTAACAGCTGATAAAAAATAAAATAATCAGTTTATCTTTGCTTTTCTTTTACCTTCTGCCTCCTTTTGTGCTCGTTTCATAGAATGTGAAAACTACTCTGTTTGACTCCCATTTTTTTTATTGTTTCTTTCCTATCCTTTCTCATCTGTCTACAATTCCATGAGATTTTGTGTGAACTGCAGAATTGATATCGTTTTTGTTCCTTGTTAGAGGAGCGTTGTGCGCCGGTCTCTCCAGCTCACGTCTCTCTGCGCAGCTCCTCTGTTTTGTCATTGCCATGACAACAGGGAATAATATTGTGAAGTGGTATTTGCATGAGAAGGCAGAGGCTTCCTTAATTTATTTCGGAGGTGGGCAAGGGGTTGAGGGGAAAAGACTCTCTTCATACGCTTTTCACTTTTGTACCAGAATGTTTATAAACACTTCAAATATATCTGGGGATTTCCAACAGCGGGGAATACAATAAGCAGAGCTTAGGTTGGAAAAGAAATCCTCTGGCGTGGCACAGAGGGATAATACACAGATAAATGTCAACAGGACTAACACTATAATTACTGAGTCAGTTTAAAACTTGGCATTTTACTAGAGAGAGCAGTAAACTGTGACACAAGAAACTAATTTTCATGAAGATCATTTCTCCCCTTCCCCAAGCGTAATTCTGTGCATGTTTTGTACATTGGTTTCTGAATTTACCACCCTTCATTTGCTTGTGTTGTCAGACTTGCCACATACTTGGGAGGGAAACTCCAGGGAGAACCAGAATTCTTAGCTGACAGTGTTAGTTATTCTTCGGGTGCCTTGGTTCATCTTCTTCATTCCCAGTAGACTCCAAGAGCAGAAGTTTTGATGTGATGTTACAGATCCATAAATATTCTCTACAAAACTAGATACAAGAGGCCTGATCATTTATAGTCAATAAAAATCCCATGGCTGCTCTTGCATGTCAGATTTAACCCAGTGTTCTAGCCAAATTCCACTCTGAGTAATTCTTCTTTGCTTCTCTAAATTATCCCTGAAGTTTTAGTTGGATGCAATGTTGTTCATTTCCTGTCTTATTTTTTCATGTACTATTTACACTGCTTAATGGTGWACAGCATGTTCCTTTCAGCCATAGAACCTCTGAAGATTAAAAAAAAAAAAAAAGGAATTAATCAGTATTGCTTGTTTTAAACTCCTTATTCAAGTGTTAGCTGCTGCTTAGTGACCTGCCGTTGTTTCTGATAACCTCAAAGGGATGTCTTCAAACATATGTCTGCAGAGGTTGGGAGTCCAGTGAGTTACAGTGTCTAGCATTCATCTTTCAGCTGTAGCTGAAGCAGCACTGGTTGTGTGTGAGCTCCCAGCAGTTCAGGTGTTAAATGTTGTGGGTATAAAGTGCATGCAATTAGAGTAAAAGGCATTAAATACGCTAATCTACTTGTATTCTCAGCCACTTTCTCAGAACCTTTCTGTTGCCTGCAGGACCCCAGATGCCCCTGTGCCTGCCTGGGGAGATGATGGGAATGCAGAAGAGAGTTCTGATAGTGAATCCTCATTCAGCGACTAAAGAGACTGGTTTCAACTGTTGGAAGCTTCTGCTCAGTGCTAGTGTGTTCAAAGCTCTAGCAGAGAAATGTTATGTTTGGGCCACATGGGAGGCGATTTATCTGATGGCTTTTCTTAGCACTCAGATCCTCCAGATTCTCTCACAGAAAGTCTGAACAGGCAGAGTTTTCGACCTGAGCCTTTCCACCACACGAATTTATCATGAGGTCCTTTGAAGTTGTTGATAGTGCATTATTTCAGATTCTTTATGGTTCTTCTGAAATTACTACAAATTCCACAGCTCTGAAAGTCTAGTTCACTAAAACCGTGTTGTGGTCATTAGTGGACTTTCTGTGTAACAAGATTGTCTAAGTTGCCATCTTTCTGTCCCATAACTTACAAGTAAGGGAAATTTTCAAATGAAATTGTTAATTGTAAACTGCAATTTTTAATAATATACTGTATACTGATAGAACAACTGTGGTGAAACAAGAATTTCACAGAAGAGTCAACTACTGTGTGGTGATACAAATCAGTGATATTCCATTTGGAGAGAAATTGAACAAGTAGAAARTACAGTTAATCTGGATGTGTTTTCAAAGTGTACATTATTCCTCTGTTTCACTTGCATGAATTAACAGAAATTCCTGMTCTGTGGAAAAGTCCATTTATCATGTTACAGTGGTGCACAGAGCTGCAAATTTGCAAGATTCTTTTGAAAATGTCACCATTGAAGTGAGCAAGGGGGAGATTATTAGTGAAATACCAGAGTCTCACTGCTTGTTCGCTGTTCAGTACAAGTCAGTAGAAGCCACTTTCTGACAGCTGTTTGGGTCGTTTGAAATGAGCTGTGGCTTTGCAGTTCATAGAGGATAAGAAATCACCTCCAGGTTGATGTCAGTGGTGGTAATTTCAGCAAAGAAATCAAAGTAGAGTTTATACAATGATAAACTTCCTCAACCTCTTGAAGTATGCGTTGACAAAAAATGTGAAGAATTCACTGGGACCCAAACTCACCCACAAGATGGATCATCTCTTTTCCCTCCAAAGCACTTAATCTATGACATGAGTAAAAAATGACATTTCATTAAAGAATTTTCTTTTATATAATTTGTTCCACATGGAATTCTTGCTATCTGTTTGAATTCCTCAGATTACTGTGATTATACCAGAATGTTGTGGGCCAGGCAGTCATTCACTTTCTGCTATTTCACATTCTTTCTGAGATCAAGAAAATACTAACATTGTAGCTCTGAGGATATAAATTTGTTAACTTTTATGACTGAGTCATTATCTCYTCTCTTAGTTATTTATGCCACTTCCATAGGTTAACTGTTTTTTTCTGTAACTTAAGTATGGCGCCCATTTGCGTCTAGCCGATGTAATTAAGCTCTTCATAACTTGTATATCAAAACAATACATGAATCCCTAGAATATAATATATACTTTAGAGAATGTCTAGAGATGATATTTCAGTAAAGAGTTTTTACTGAACGCTTAATAGCATTCAATAACGTTCAATCACACTTGGCAAAACTTGGTGAGTATTAACATACTAGCAATAAATATTTTAAAGGTGGATAATGTAATGGTATTTGAGAAAACATGTTAAAATACTGGTAACTTTATGAAATCTATATTTGAAAATTCATTGAAGCAATCTATRTGAATAAACTTATGTTTTGTATACAGAAATTGTCGCCTTATTGTGTTCCCATGTGTTGTTTTAAACAAGCTTATGAAAATTCTTCTGGAGCCCCTGTACTTATGCCATGTTTCTCCAAGTCCAGTTATGCTGAAGCTGTACCAACCTGTTAGCTGAAGTAGCTGCTGTTCTAACAAGAAACTTGAAGCAAGACTAAAGTTAATGAGAAGGGTATATTTGAGGCTGTAAGTCATGCAGCTTCCTTACATAAATTAATATGAGCTTGAGAGTTGACTCGAGGCACAATATTTAGGTTTTTCTTAGTAAATACATTCAGTTAACAAAATGTACTTAAGGAAGTATGACTTCTTTTGTTTATCATTTTGAAGAAGCTTTTCCTATAAAGTAATGTTAGTCTGAAGAGATGAAAGCTGATTGTCTGCTGTACCACTGCAGATGTATTATGTGAAATGAAGCAGGAAGCCTCTAGCCCACAGTTGCTGGTTATAATGAGGAATAATTAACTGGTAATTGCATATATATGTGTCACAAGTAGCAATTTTGCTAGTAGGCATGCGGAAGTAATTGTTCAGGAATTGGTTCTTTGCAAGGCATCTGTTTGCCATGGAATAGTGCGATCTTGGTAGGCTTGCAAAAATCTTGAGACAAATCTTGCCATTTTGTCTGCTCTCCCCCTTCAGTGATGCCACAGCAGACTGTGAAAATCCAGATGTTTGAACTGCAGGGTTCCAGGAGAAAAAATATCTTTGCTTCCACCATCAGCAATCTCCTGCTTTTGATATCTTCGGAACCTCTGAGCACATTGAACTCCTCTGTTCCTGCCAGCTTTGTCTGTTAAACACATCCCTGTTCTCTGAGACTGTAGCCAAGTTCAATCTGAGATGTTTCAGCTTAGGACGCATGCTGACACAAGAAGTTATTAAATATGGGATGGTTGATTTGAGACAGAATTATGGCAGCTGTTCTAGTCCTCCTTGATCTACAGCAGTTTTCTAGTGAGCTGGTGCTAACCCAGGAAGCTGGAAAGTCCTTAACCACAAGCTAAATACTATAAGCAACAAATATTCCAGTTTGCTCATTATTTGCCATCTGTTTTGGAATAGAAAATGGAGGAAGTGTTTCAACTTGGCTGCATAGTAATCTGATATACATAGTCCTTTCAGGGGGAGAAATCCAATTTAAAGTTATTTGTTTTTAAGAAGCTTCCAAAGGCAATGAACTGTTGAAAGATGCAGTATAGAATAAGAAAGATGTGTTAGTCATATGCATTTAATACACCCAAACTGTGCATCGGTTTAAGATCTCCACCTGGGGCAATATTGCAGGTAACAGACATGAGAACTACTTCAGCTTTTTGCTGGAATAACTATTACATGTGCATGTCAATAAAAATTATCAATGTTTCAATGATAAGGGGGTTATGTGGAGTGAACTACAAGATCTTTTGTGTAAAGATCTTTTTTTTAAAGATATGACAGCTGTTTGAAATGCATCTAGGTGTCTGAAGGCTGGATGCATACCTGTTTGAAGGTCAAAGCTCAGACAACCATCAAAGACAAAACCAACATGCATCCTGAGCAGTGACTTCATCCTGGTGCTTAATCATTAATTCATTCCCTCTCAGCTCTCCTGTTCAGCTACGTTTGAAAAGAAAACCCATGGTTTTTTTTCCAAGTCCCTCTGTCTCTTTTCTCTTTCCAGTGCATGTTGCTTACATTATTGATTTAATTGCATATTTTGAAATTTGGGGGAAAAGAAAGGTCCTAAAAATTATAGGCTGTGCTTTGAAAATGTGAATACCACTAAGATCAACACTTATAGTTGTGCCTGATGAAGCTAATTTTGCTTTCCATAGTGCTATAACAAGAAACTAATGTTCACCACAGGCATATGCTTACTGGGAATCTATTCATCTGCTTTGTTGTGTGAAAGTTGATACAAGAATACAATAGATTTATCTGCAAGGCAGAATACGTGTTTGCTTACTCTTCAAAAAACTTGGCTTCCTCTTTTCTGAGCTAAGTGTAGATCAAGTGCCCGCACAAATGCCCAGCACATTATTGTTGTTCCTCGTTATATTGGTCTCTCCATGGACACCACTCTGCAGACAAGATAGGAAGGGCCATACTAGCTCAAGCCTGTGACTTGCTTAGTGTCATGGTTCTCTCTCTGGTACTGATCAATACTAGATGCTTCAATGTAAGATGTGAGAAAATACTACAGAGCTCCAGTAGTACCCATCTTCTGCTAGCAGGATTTTATTCTAACTGTAAGCAGAAAGTGACTTCAGTGATAAATTGCAAGTTTATTATTGCTTCCAATGCTCTCATGTTAATTCTAAAAGTGGTTGCTTTTCTTGTCTTGTGTTTGACTGTCCAACTTTGCTAATACAATACTGTTTTATGTGAGGTTCCTAAACTATTTAATTATGAGGAGAACTAAGTAGAAATTTAAAATTATACATACCATGCCATACAGGAAATGAGTGATAGAAACAAGGTCAGATAGCATATGTCTGTAAATATTCTAATTTTGAGAAAACTTCACTATTAATGACTGCATGAAAAGGCAAGTCATTAGGTGAGGGCAGGAATAACATGAAAAACTTTATATTTTTCCAACTTTTAATCCACTCTTTTTTAAGTAGTGGATTATGACAGTCTTGACCTCAAACAATTGGGCTATTTTCTTTATTCTAGGAGTCAGGTTTTAGAGGTGGGTGTAAGGCATGTACTAATGCATTTTGGAATCTAAGAGTGAGTTAAGCCAACTGTATCTTCTGATGAGAGAAAGCATGAGTGGCCAAGAAGGCCAATGGCATCCTGGTTTCTGTGAGGAACAGTGCAGCCAGGAGGACCAGGGAAGGGATTGTTCCCCTGTACTCAGTGCTAGAGAAGCTGCACTTTGAATACTGTGGTCAGTTTTGAGCCCTCACTACAAGAAGGACATAGAGGTGCTGGAGCATGTCCAAAGGAGGGCAGTGAAGTTGGTGAGGGGGCTGGACTCACAGACTTTATGAGGAGCAGCTGAGGGAGCTGGGATTATTTAGTCTGCAGAAGAGGAGACTTAGGGGAGACCTTATTGCTCTCTACAACTACCTGAAAGAAGATTATAGTGAGGTGGGGAGTCGATCTCTTCTCCAGAATAACTACAGATAGGCCAAGAGGAAATGGCCTCAAGTTGCGCCGGGGAGGTTCAAGTCGGATATTGGGAAGAATTGTTACACAGAAAGAGTGGTGAGGTATTAGAACAGGCTGCCCAGGGAAGTGGTGGAGTCTCCATCCCTGGCAATGTTCAAGAAATGTGTTGATGAGGCACTTAGGGACATGGTTTAGCAGGCATGGTGTTGAAGGGTTTATGGTTGGACTCAATGATCTTAAAGATCTTTTCCAATCATAATGATTCTATGATTCTATGATACAAAGGTTGTTGGCTTATTATCGTAGTTTAAAACCATACAACTCTGTCTTTAGAGCTCTTCCATTTTAGAGGCGGACTGTGATGGTTTCTGTATCACAGTTTAATTGTGCAAAGTGTGTGAGCCTGGCTTCCTGTCAAAATACCATCACCTTGTACATGTAGATGTCCTTAATTTTCCTCAGAATATGCTGTCTAGTTTCCATAACATTTTGGTAGAGGAGAGAAGAACATGTCTCAAAGATTCAATCCCTGAGGATTTGATGAAACTAAGTCATTGGGCAGGAGAGAGAGTGTAATAGCATTTGTGATGAAGAAAGCCTGCAGCGTTGGCTCAAACCTTCCTCGACCCCAAGAGATCAACATAAGAAAGAAGTGTTACAAAATACCCTTGTGTGCTCTTCCTCTATGGTCTGTCCCTGTCATCTGCCAGGAACCTTTCAGCCTCTCTAGTTACACAGTGAGCTCAATTCTAAGGTTGTCTCATGGATTTTCCTTATTCAGGAAATTTGTCAATCACCAGAACAGCACAGCACCGGTATGCAGCCAGGGAGACTATAACCAGTAGCAAACTGTCCAGCAACAAGAATCTGATGATTACCAATCATGGTTTCCATTGTATCTAGTAGGTTTCTATGCACATAAATTAATGGTCTGTAAACACGCTGTAGGAGGACATGTGTTTTTASAGGTTACACCTTAGAGACCGCATCCAGTCAGCTGCATGTTGAGGTCCTCAGGAAATCAAATTTTATACATTTCCATGAACTGCTTGCTTTAGCAGCTATCAAAAATATTTTAAAAGTTGCCTGGTTTGGATGAAAAGAGATGTCATGTTTTTGCAGAGACTGAAACCTTGGCAGAGGGGACAGAAGCAATAGGACAGTTTTATTCAGCAGTGATTTACATGGTGCTCACAGTAGACCAGTCTGTGCTAGTGTTGTGTAACAGAACAGACAGGACATCAGGTGGGAGTACAAACACTTTTCTGTTGACATATCAACAGAGGGGTTTGCATAACAGAACTTGTCTTTCTCCTTTCTGGATGTTTTTTCTTTCCATCACAGTTGTTGTGTTTCTATCATTGCACATATCAGTACACACTGCACTAGCTGTTTTTTTCCAGGACCTGCCTCTCCTGGGCACCCATCCCTGTACTCTGTTGCCTGCTGTCTTCAGTTAGACAGTGCCATAAGTAATGGACACATGAATAGTCATGGGGTTTTCCAGCTTGTACACAGCAGGGTTCAACTAACCCAGCAGCCTAACTCCAGCATCCATGGGCCCCACCTTTGCCTTTGAGGGCTTCCTTTTCCACTAAGGCTACAGTCTTTCAGTATGTCTCTTTTGGGCATCAGATCTTCTTAACTGTTTCACCCACATACTGAATGCACAATAAAGTTATCTC